AAAATTTTCCCAGAAATGTCTGTGGCTACTCCCATGCAATCCAACATAACTAGAAGTACGCTGGAGGGTAAAATGGAGTCAAAAGTGACAGCAATCTTACCAATTATGGCTAAAATACCTTAATTTTGCAAATGACCATCTGCGCGCATTGTGTGCAGGGGCCTAGAAGCAGCCTATGTAAATGAGTGGGATCAGAGCTGAAGCTGCATTAACTTCATGGTAGACTTATGGCTGTGTTTATGTTTTATTTCTCTTCTTCCATGACTAGAACTTATCTTTACATTACAGAAACTTGAACATTGCTTGTACACGGTAGGAACTCAGTGCATTTAAAAAAACGTATTATATTTATTTATTTGAGAGAGAGAGAGGAAGAGGGCATGAACTGGGGTAAGGGGGCCAGGGAAGAGGGAGAAGAAGATCCCTACAGAGCAGGGAGTCCAACGTAGGGCTTGAACCCAGGACCCTGAGATCATGACATGAGCCAAAGGCAGACATTCAACAGACTGAGCCACCCAGGCATCCCTGCATGTTTTTACATTTTAATTAGCCCAACATATTGGGAGATATTGTACAAATGGAATAATTCTTACATATTACTACACCTGATAAGACATTTCACCAACCCCTAATACCATCATCATTCACCCCCAAACTCTACCCTGGACACATAATACATAAATCTCAAATATTCCTTTCATTTAATGATCAGGATGTTAACACTCAAGAATTATACCAAGAATGAACAAGAATTCGTGTTTTAAAACATGTTTTCACTAATTTCAACCTTCTCCACAGTATTTGGTCTCTCTTTAAAATCAAATAGGATATTTTTTCAAGACCATTTCTCCCACCAAATTAGCATGAAACTTACTAAGAAGCTTGACTGTCATGTCCTCTTTTCAAATCCCAAACAACACCCAAATGTTCCCTATACCAAGTGATGCCTTTATTAGTATGCACGCAGGCTTTCATTGTTCCTCCCAGGAAAACCTATTACCAATCCAACATTATTTTAAATCAAGATGCGGTCACAATTTTTTAAATGTTCTTTATACATCTAACATTAAAGATACATCAAAGATTTTGAAATCAAAATCTGAAATAAGTTATTATTTTAAGATGAGTATTATGGCCTAAGAGGCTGCTGAGAGCATACCGTGGTTCCAAGCAGGAATACTATTGTATTCTCTGTGGCATCCGAGGAAAAAAAGTTCTACTCTTGCGAAGGTCTGGAATATAACCCAAATTCCATCAATGACTCCTTCCTAAATAACGTGTATAATAACATGCGTTCCAAATGCCAGTGAGGCACAGTGGCGACAAAGAGCAAGCAGGCTGTGTATATGCAGAGGCTGAGTGTCTTTAACTTAATTAAAGGTGTGAAAGCAAAAACCTCATCAACCTGCATATAAGAAACTTTTATAAAGCTGTAAGATTTATTATAAGTACATAAACATTAGGGAAAATAAAAATGTTAAGTTAGACGCCTAAAACGAATCATAAGCCCTCTTGATTCTAAGCAATGTTTCCTTCTGTCATCACAGAAATGCTTCATAAAACATGCTGCTTAAGACGCTATATCATAATGTAATCATTTTTGCTCTTAAGATATCCTCTGAAGAACTAATTTCTCCTTTTGATCTCCTTCAATCCTTGATCACACTGCTTTTGTGGCCATGTTAGTATATGGCACTTGATTATAATCAAGTATAATGCTAAATAAAATGACTTGTTCTTCACTGTCTTCCCATTTTGGTCTCATCTCCCTGCCTTCCACATCTTTCATCATCTTCCTATTTCTCTTACAGGTATGCCTAATTTAATTCAAACTGAATATGAACATTCTGGATCAACACTGTAAAACGGTTTTAACAAGAACTGTTAAAGGTAAACACTGTTAAAAGTAAACAAGAACTAAAATCAATTACTACTACGCTCAACCCCCAAACAAGTCAAGAAAGCATGTGAGGGGTTATTTCTTTCTATGGGACTGAGTGGAGCAATACCACTTGTTCATTCAACTCAGCAGCAGAAGGAACAGTGGCCAACTCCAGAACTCACTCACTCGAGGATTATAGCTAGGATCCAATTCTCCACACTGAACACAACCCTGTGTACCACCCAACATCTGCTAGACCTGTGGTTCCCAACAGGGGAGGACTTTGCTCCCCCAGGGGAAATTTGGCCATGTCCAGGGACTTTGTTGACTTTCATGACTTGGGGGAGGGGATGGGTAGTTACTGGCATCCAATGGGTAGAGACCAGGGATGCTGCTGAACATCCTATACAGGCCCAGGGCAGCCCCATACTGAATTATTTAGCCAAAATAAGAATGAAAGACCCTGACCCAAAATATGTGTTCCCAATTTTGAATAAAGTGTAGAACAGCAGGACCACAGGCACAACAGTGGTGCAAAAGGACACAGAATTAGGGGAGAAAGCAAACTAGAACTTAGCAAGTATCTGCTACATAACAAGCCTTGCTTTAGTCACTTCACATGCATCGTCTCACTTAAGTGGTCTCACGTGAAAAAGTGATCTATTCTCATTTTACAGATGAGGAGGCTGGACTCACAGTGATTGTATATGCAGAGCTTAAGTGTCTTTAACTCAGTAATTAAGGGAGGTTAAGGAACTTATTCAAGGTCACTCAGCTAGGAAAGGGAGGAACATAAGGACCCAAATTCACACCAAATCTGTTTCTAAGTCTAGAGGTTAAAAGACCTGGATTTGATTCAAAGTCATCAATATGAATATAAGCAAGTCCCTTAAATCCCCTAAGCCTCCATCTGGAAATAACTCAACAGATAAACTGTGTGAAAATATAAATGCTGTTGAACGCCGACTACATACAATCCTATGAAACATCCTACAGTGAAAAAGTACTTCTTAGAATTGAGGTGTCAAGATTAATATTTTTTCCTTAAAAATAGAATGTATACATGTGCACAGAACTAAATTATTCAGCATTTTTAAGAATCAAGATGAAGTGTTCAGAAGACACTTCTGTGCCTTCTGTAACCATGCAACTGCTCTTAAATCCTAAGAGGAAATAAACTAACATAAGCAATATTTTAGTAAGAACTTCCTAAAGATTTATAATCAATCAAGCCTAAGGTGCTCAAGACTGTATCAACAGCTTTGGTTGGGCTCTCTCTCAACAACTGGTAGCAGAGATCATGAGTCTAAGGAAGAAGAGGATGGATTGCAGGGAAACTACTATTCTCTCCTAGAAGACAGAGTATTACATTGAGGTCAAGATATTATTACTCATACTAATCATACAAAAAAAACCCAATAATAATTCATTTCAACATGAGATTCCAATTTTTTTTTAACTATCGCCAGAATACATCTGTCTTGACAACTAAACTACTCGTAGGTCCATAAGCATAACTTTAACCACACTCTTCTGGGATTAAGTTCAGGAGAAAGAATGTAAACTCGTGTTTATTCCTTCCAGAAGTCAACACTACGAATGCCGCTTCTAAAAGAGGGTTACACACAACCATTTTCCCCCTTGAAATGCCAGATTCCAAGGCACTGCTTTGCCTCATTTTATAATAAGCATATCTTTGCATATCATGTTAATACACTATAAGTAAATTATAATACCAAGTATTTCCCACTAAGTCCAACTTTAAAAATAAACACATCAAACTAAAAACTATAATAATAAAATAATTTCCAGAGAATTATGAAGAATAGATTTAAATAAGTCAAAGTTCTAAAATGCCTTTACCTGACACACGCACACACACTTTAATGTTTATGGGAAGTGAAAGAATTGATAACTAAAATCTTGAATGCTTTTTATTTTAATCAATTTAGATAAGGATTTGGATTAAATGTCATTTTACTGACTAATGAATTACATCTTTCACCTTAAGCATTTTGACATTTCCATCAACTTTCTAAAAGTGAGGGCGGATTATTTCTCTATGTTTTTAATATACTTGCCTCTCAAAAGACTGAAATATATAAAAGCTGATAGGAGAAACCTATTATCAATCCCCTCATGATCATAACATCTCTGAGTAAGCGCTGGCTACACAATAATGTGTAGGTGATAATCTTGAAGAATTTACATTAGACAATAACCTAACTAAAACCCATTTTATGTTTATCTGACATCCTGTCAACTTTTGACTTGACAAGCCTGTTTTCTCATCGCAACAAATTTTAACACACAGGTAAATGGTAGTTATTTTTAACTTCCAAGAGCTAGAAATCATTATTTCGTCTCCTCCTGTTTCTCCCAAAATAGGAACATTCGAAGGAATTTGTTACCAAATTTAAAAAAAAAAAAAAAATACTATTAGCTGACTACTCATTCCGAAAGGTGTAATTTTCCTGACAGCAGAATTAACTATCCTTGACGAGATCGCACGTGAACCTTTCATAGCACCTACCACATCCCAAGTAAACAGCCCTGGCATGTAAGTATGTATACATAGCTTATCATGAAAAAGACCCAACCCACTCCATTTCCCAAACAAGACGGGGGCAGCTGTCCTATGACAGTCTGTGCAATTACCAGCACCTTGGGCAGGTCCGCGGCCCTACTGCGGGGCGCAGGCCCGCCCGGACGCCCTCTTCACAACCCCTCTTTGTGCCGCTGCCCGTCCCCCCACCCCCCTGTTCTGACCTACGTGGAGCCCCCGCTAGACCACAGGGCCAGCACCACCACCACCCCCCACCCGCCGCCCGCCGGCCCCAGGCCCTGCTCCTCTCGGCTCTCCCTGGGGAGGTGGGCGTTCGCCGGGCAGAAGGGCAGGGCCCAGGTATTGCGAGGGAAAAGGGGGGCCGCGGTGGGGGTCCTCCTGTCGGAGGTGGGGGTCGCACAGAAGAAGGGCAGGGCCCAGGAAGACGAGGGAGAAAAATGGGTCCTCCCATGGAAGGTGGGGGTCGCGGGGCGGAAGGGCCTGGCCGGGGGCTTCCAGGGAAAAAGGGCCGCGGAGAGGGGTCTCGGTGGAGTCGCAGGTCGGCGGCCTCACCCGTGGCGGGGGGCGGCTCTCCCGCGTCGTCGGATGCCAGGGTGACGGTGCCGTCCCTCCAGACGCGGATCTGCGCGGCTGAGCGCACGCGGCGACGAGGCTGGCGGCGGCCGGCGTCCGCGGCGCGCAGGGAGCCGCAGCACTGGTAGCACACGGCCCACGCCTGCTCCTCGTTGATGGGCTGGTTGTAGAGCCGCAGGATTTCCTCCAGGCTCAGCGCGTCCGGCGGGCCGCCAGCCGCCCCGGAGTCCGGAGGCCCCTCGCCGCCCGCCGGCTGCGCCCGGGGCTCCCCGCCGCCCGCCGGGGCCGCCGGCTGAGCCATCCCGCGGGTCGGCGCTACGCTCGGCCGCCGCGCCGTGTGCCGGCGTCTCTTCAGCTCCGGAGCATCGTCTCGGCTCGCCGCCGCCTCCTCATCCCCGGAACCGCCCCGCCCAACCTGGCCGCGCGCGCCGCCGTGGGGGACCAGGCGTGGGACTGGGCGAGGGCCCGGCTGCCGTGGGCGAGCGAAGAGCGGCGAGGACGCCGCGGCCGTCCTGACCAGGCCGCCGCCGCCGCCGGCCCGTAGCGACGCGATGGCGTCCGCCGGCCCCGCCCCGCGCCTCGCCGCGCGCTCAGGGCCGGGGCTGCGGAGCCGCCCCGCCAGGGGTCCGCACGGCAGGCAGCTCGGGTGTGCGCTCAGTCGCCAAGCTGACCTCGCCGACCGCAGCGATCCCCCGCCGCGCTGGGAGGCGCTGGATCCCCCAGGAACTGACTCGCTGGGAGGCTAATTAAGAGTTCAAACCCAGCCTGTAGCAAATTCCTAATAAAGGTCTCTGAAACCGCTCCGGCTCCGGCTTCCCCCGCCGCCGCGCCTGCTCCCTCCCACCCCGGGCGGTCCGCTGGGCGCGGGTCCTGCGCCTCTTTGAAGCCTCCACACGGTTTCTCCTGACCAGCCGACTTCGTACTGCGCCCGGCCTCGCTCCTTCATCATCCCCCGGATCCTCCTCTGCTCTTTTTGGGGTAGTTGTGGCCATCGACATGCCGTATAATTTACTTAGATGTACTGTTTATTGAATAGGTCCTCCCATTTTCATTGTAAGCTCCCTGAGGACAGGGACCTTTATGGGTTTTGCTCCCTGACTTCTCCCAAGCGCGTAGATGAGGGCCTGGGATGTAACCATGTTGTAAATAATTTGTAGACATTAGTTTCAGCGTCCTTCCGGATTCATTTTGTAACGTTTGCACAACTCCCTAAGGATGTCTCCAGTGATCACACTCATCATAGTCCAGTGAGCCCAGTATGTTCAGACGATGTGGAATTCGTATCAGAGTGGCAACATTAAACTGAGGGGAACAAGCCGTAGAAGAAAAGAAATACTGCACTCCCCAGAACCTCGCTGACTTCATTAAGTTATGCAATATAACATCATTCTTAGATAAAATAATCACTCATTGGTAAACGAATTTAATTGGTAACTTTCCATTCTGAGGCTAGTGGTAAGAACCAGAGAGAGTTTAAAGTATCAACCGACTAAGAAATTTACAGTAACTACCAATTAAACTTTTAAGGCAGCTTTGTGTGTAATATTAGATCCCACGCTCTTAACCACTGCATCTTGCACTAAAAGTTACAAGGGTCTATTATCAATGCTTAAGATATCACAGTACATACAGCAGTAGTAGGGAGAAGAGAGAAAAGCAAAAGGTATTTTAAAAGAGTAAGGAATTGAAAGGGGGAGAAAAAAGCTTCTTCCTAATCACCTTATTATAATTTCACTACAAGAGATACAAAAAAACCCTTAAGCAATATTATAGGTTCATAATCCCATTGTAAAATGCACTATGTGTGCCAAACCTTGAGAAGAAAAGCCTAATTCTTTATATGATACAGATCGGATGGATAGATATGGATATATAGATACATAAAATCTTTTGATTGAAAAACTGGGAAAATATATCCAAATTTTGCTACCTTAAAAGTTTAGATTCTGTGTGAATTCTGAAAATACAGAGGGCTTTAAAACAGTTTGAACAATGAACAGCTAAATGGTCTACTCTTGTGGACAACACTACCATCTCGTGGCCTTATGGGATATTGCTGTTCCATTGCACTTGGACAACTACAACAAAAATCACTTACGTATTTGTCCTTATCTTTACTCCCTCCACAAAACACAAGTCAAACGAATTAATCAACTAATGAATCCATGAGCCAGTCCCTTGCTACTCCTGGTACAGGGCAATAAATAAATCTCCAAGTCAAGGTAACTGAAGGGAAGAAGGAAAGAAGTGGACATGAAGAAAAAGAAAAATCCAAATTTTACCTGAAATGTTATCGTTAAAAGATGTATTCTTTAAAACAAATTCACAACAGAGTTTTTCCTTTCTTTTTAAAAAAGATTTTATTTATTTATTTATTTGAGAGAGAGAGCATGAGAGGGGGGAGGGTCAGAGGGAGAAGTAGATGCCCTACTGAGCAGGAGCGGGATTTGATACTGGGACTCCAGGATCTTGACCTGAGCTGAAGGGAGTCACCTAACCAAATGAGCCACCTACGTGCCAAGATTCTTTCCTTTCTTAAGTGATAATTTTTAAACATACATTTTGGGAAGAAAAACAATATGGCACTGAATCACAGGAGGCTTTTTCCCCCCAGATACAAACTCATGACTGATATACTGTATTTAAAGTAAATTTCTTGCCTTTGAGAGCTTATATGGAATTAAGTTGAGGCAAGATGACAAGCAGAATGTTAATATATGCAGAAAACGTAAAAGATAAATCTTAAAAATCCTAGCTATATTTTATTATAAATCTATTTATTATATAACCTGAACACCTGATTCATTTTTGTACAAAGATAGTATAATTTTTATATAATTTTTCAGAACTCTTTGAAATTTTGATAACGCCCCATGTCCATAATCATAAGACTCTGAGAAACTGACTCTTGACAAGACTATCAGAGGTCCATGTATACCCAGGACTCAATCAGGGCTGTGGAATAACTTGGAATAACCTTCCCATTTTCTCATTTTCAGTTCAAGTTCAAAGTTTCTAATACCTTGGGACAGTATATTTTGTACCAATTTCTGTCACTGATTTTATTTATTTTTTATTCTTGGCTTCACCACTTTTAAAAAATTGCTCTATATATTTAAAAGGAATAAGTCAAATCAACATGTAAATATCTTTTTCAAAGTGCTATAAGATCTGTGAAAAATAGTGGCACATGTTACTCTGAATATGATTTTAATTTTCATTGATTTTGTTGCTGCATTTATTAAAAATGGAATCCTTGAAATTTTTTATATTTACTTATCATTTTTGCAGAATAAATGTACTTCATGCTTCATACTCTGGACGTGCTGGCTGAGCTGCTCTGAGTCTTTAGGGAGCACAATCTGCCTGTGCAGCCCAAGCTTAATCCAGTCATTCCCAGACAATTGCTCCTAAGAGGCACATTCACCTAGAAAAGTGCACCAAAAAGGGAAAAATAGAACAGCATATTTTTTTCAGTAGCATAACCTAAATTTTCATTGCCCACAATTATAATACTTTGTAATTTTAAAGTGATAATTTTACATTTTCAAAGTGCTTTCTTCAGTTATACAACTCAAGGTCAGATATTACTATTCCTATCTTACAAATGACAAAATATAGAACTAGTAAATGAACGAGGTAGGACTGAAATCCAGGACTCCTGAACAGCTCAGCTCTTTCTGCTATTTACATCTCTCCACATTTGCACAGAGCAAGAAAAAAGTCCTCACACTTCATTCCTCACTCCAGCAAGCAAGAGCAGTAAATAAAAAGCAGATGCTTTAAATTTGTACATACCACCACAATCAACCAAACTTTTGGTATTTTAAATACCTTGAATGAATGATGCAATGCCCCATCTCCCTCCAATGGTCTTTGTGAGTTCACTGGCATTGAGTTTCACCGTAGTGATGATCTCCCCATAGTAATTATCTTCAAAGTGATCTATAATAACTCCATCCCCATCAAAGAATTCCAAATTATCACACCCCTAAGGAGGCTAATTCCATCAACAACCCTAAATGCAGTTTGAAACTCATCTCTTGTAATTTTCATAATCAAACTAAATATTAGCTCCAAATCTTTAAAATTAGTCATGGAAATTAGCATATGACCTCATACATAGAATCAGAAGTACAAAGACCAGATAAGAACACAACAAAATTGGATTCCTTTGATCTGTAAACTTGTAAAAGAATTAAGTTTTGTATCCAATGGCGGAGATATTGAGAAACATTTAGAAGATACTCATGAATGCCTTTTTGTAAGCGGTACCCCAAACCAGTGTTTTCCACAACATATTCATTCATTCATATTTAAAATTTACCTATCCTACCTTGATGAGATCAAGTTACATACCCACTGATAAAAACTGAGGAAAAGTAGAGGAACAAGGCAAAATATCTAACAGTAGCATATCAGTATGTTCATGAAGGATTCTGGAAAATACTAGGTCAAACAATAGTTATGTTTCACTTTATTAATGTGATTCTCCTTTGAAATAATTATTTTTAAACCAGCAAGAAGAGATGGTCTTCTGATTCTGAATATAAGTGGAATTGTTAGCCTCAATTAGTAAAAAAAAAAAAAAAAAGAAAAAAAAAAGATTCAATTTGGAAAAGACCTAGATCTAAATTTGAGGCCATCCACTATTTTACACTTAATAAAAATTTGAGTATGCAGAGGTTAAATAACTTACCCCAAATTACTGACATTTGCCAAAAGTACTTCAAATATACTTCCTTTAACATAAGCTTTCCAGATCCTGTTTTTTAGCCATATTACCTACTTCTTATCAAATTTCAAGTTAGGATAAGCAGTAGCTTATTTCTTAATTCTAATGGAAAATAGAAAACAATACAAGGCATGAAAATATCTTTATTTGATAGCAAAATTTTGATGTTTGACAATAGTTGCTTGAAAATGTAGAATTCTCAATAAGACTTTTAAGAAACCAGAATTTTAGGTTGTATAAGTTAAAGAGAATGCATTTTCAGATTGAAGTAATACTTTGTTGATGAGACAAATCTAAAATATTTTTCAAACCTCCACAATTAATTTTTGCTTTGCTTTATACAAAAAAGATGGCCCTTTTCTTATTGTTCAAAAGATTTTTTTTTTTTTTAACCTAATGTGCCAGTAGAAGTCTGGAGCTTCTCTGGCTCTACTATTCTACTGTGATTCTGTAAAAGGCTCATTTCTCTTCCAAGGTCAATATGTAACTAACACAAAATATGGCTTACTTTAATTCAATTAAATAAGCAATGAAATAAAGCCTTGCTTTGGTACATTTTGTGGAAGGTTATATAGGTTGGGCTGTACTTATATTTTAGTAGTGCTTTGCCCTCAGGTTTTTCCCTTGAAATATTTTTTTAACCTGAATTCCTATGTCCTTTTGATATTTTCTTGATAGTCATTAATGGAGTACAATATCTTTCTTTCTTTTATTTGCTATGCATGTTCATTTCTCTTGGGAACAGCAAGCATAATCCTTGCTCCTATTTTCTACCTC